TGCAGAATATTTAATAGTAAATATGTATAAAAATATATTTGATATTTAAGAAACAATTATAAATTTATGATGTAAGTTTAAAATATAATATGATGTGCACATAAAATAATAAATTAAGGAGAATTGTTTTGTTTTACATTTTTACAATAATTTAAATTTCTCATGTACGATGACTATTGTCCATTACATAAAGTAAAGATTATAAAAACATATTTAATTTTCAAAAAATTTAAATTTCAAAAATATGTAAATATGTTGGTCGAACGCGATATCGTTGCGTCGATTATAGTAAAAAGCATTTTTTTTTGCTTTAATTGAATAATTGTGAACAAGGCACGAATTTGCTGGTACACTGTCAAGACTTCTTAGGAATTGTATCTCAATTGATGGCTCACGCACAATCATTTAATTGTATCGCTAAATTGATTTTCGCAACCCACATCGCGTTTGGCTTTGTCAGTTTATATGTATATATATTTTTTTCATATTGAGAGCCGAATATAATTCTTAATTGTTAATAAATTTTAAGCATTACAGAAAAACTACCAGAAATGTTCTTCGTCATTTCTTTTAGTTTTTCTACGTAATTATCACTTACAAGAGAACACCCGACATTATTCCCTCCGATTTGACTGAATCTGAAATATGTTGTAGTCTTATCTTTACACTAATTTATGGTATAATAATCACATTAGTTTAACAACAAATACAGTGCAATTAAACATCATAAAATCCTCAAGCGGTAATTCAATATTAACCAAGTATTCCATTGACAACATTATATACAAATACATTTTTTAATATCATCTGCATATATGAAACACGTGGATATTAAGTATTAATTATGAAGATTTCGTCTAGTACATGACTATTGACTCGCCGTTTTATTGTATTGGTTTTTTATTATGTTTAATTAATATGATTGATAAGACGCAAGTGAGCGCTCGAAACGTCTCATCTATGTAATAAATAATAGAAATTTCATGATTTAAACATATCTTTGTATTATTGTCATTAATAACCGCTCGTCTAAAACACCTTATTTACCTATTGTTTATTTATTAATATATTAAGATCTTATGTTCATATTTATTTATAATAATATGACTCAACACTCAAGCATTCATGAAAAACTGATCCATTAATCTTACGTAGAAATGGATCTAAAAAAGATCTTTTTTAGAAAAAGTAAAAAGCACCAAATTCAAAATAGTATAATAGAAAAAACAGTATGTTTCAAAGTACTGTAAACTTATGTTGTAAAATTAATATTTCTAAAAAAATATTGTAATCAGAAATTAGAAATTAATACAAAATAAAATATATAAAATATTTTAGTTAAAAATCTTGGCGATATACTTTCAAAATTGCTGCGATGTATTCTATTTGTAATATATCTTAGAGTAACAAATAATTCATTTACTGCTATAAAATTTTAATATATAATAAATATTTTTTTAATTGCTTGCATTAAGTGTGATTTTACACTAGCTTTTTTATATTATATACGATATTTTATATTGTATACGATGATTCGACGATAATAGTACTCGCTGAACGTATTTTCTTTTTTGAAGCAAAATGTGCATGTATTTCTGTGAGAAGAAAATCTACATCTATCATTAAATATATGCAAAGTATATTTTTCAACGTATTCAGCAATTATGAAGCATAATAATTATACATCGCATACACAATTATAGAAAAGCGTTTACAAACAACAAGAAATCTAAAAAAATTTGCGCAACAATCTTAAGAGATGATCGTAATCTCATTATCTCATTGTCAGAATCTCATTAATTTGTTTGAATATCAGCTAATTCTTTAATCATTGCAACACTTAGCATTGAAAATTCAAATTTAACAAAGAAACAGAAAACAAAAATCTGCAAGCATATTAACCATTTTGTAGTCTCATTTTTATTTATCAATTTCAAATTGTCATTATTTATATTCTAATTTTATATTTTTGTAATTTTATACAATTAGATTCAACATTATGTCTAACATATGCGCACAACGAGAATCGAGACAGTCAATCGCAGAAAAACGATAACAGTGTCAATAAAATGCATTTTTAAAAGGGCGGATTCCATGCTGGATTGATCAAGCTAACGTCAGAAGTTCCAACATATGTTCTTTGGTTTTCTTGCATAATTAAGAATAATAGATGTATACATGATTCTATAATAGTAGACAAAACTGTGTGTGTGTGTTTCCTTGCAAAGTTATCCACAACTCGTCATGCTCGGTAGTTTCATTTCCTCTCTCGCACAGACACGTATTAACTTATGCAATATTGTCTTCTTTCAAGAAAGAAACGTCATAGTCGAATACAGTGATACATTATATATATTTTACTAAATTAATGTGATAATTAAAAATTAACAGTGCAATCGTCTACATTTACAGTGTTAGTATAAAATCAGATCAACATTTTGAAAATTTTATAAAAAAAAAAAAAAAAGAAATTATTCAATTCGATTATATGTGTACATTACGCACTTGACACATATCTTTCATTTACTAAATACAAAAGCTATAGTAGGCACAAAATAAATATACATTTTTAATTATTGAAAATTAAAATTTATATGAGAAATAATGAATGTAGCAATAAGTTTGATTGATTTCTCTATCTAATTTCTGTAGTGAATTCTTTGTGAAATAATGTTTGTACAAAATTTCGCGGTTCTGTGTTGTGAGCTTTTTCTCCTCATCATTTCGTCATCGAAATCTCAGCAAAATTACACCAACGACGAAAATGAAGGTCATAATGTGACAGTACGATACGAGATATATGCAGATTCTACAACAATTTATAGCGACGAGATAAAACCACCGCGATATGATTTGTATGAAAGGTTTACCGACGATACGCAATATAATGAAATGGAATATAAATTTAGCACTATTTCCACAAATATCGATCGCGAAGATGTTGATTCGATACTACATAAATTAAAAAAGCGTTCTGCCCACAATCAAAAAAATGATGACAAAATATTGAAACACTCTCACAACAATTCGACAAATGTCAATCATAAAGAAAACTCTACGTCACAGAAGGTTTATGAAAATTTGATTGAAAAGAATTATTCCATGCCGAATAAAATCTTTGAAAATTCCACTAAGAATAGTTATGAAAGTAACATCGTCCCATACAAAACTTGTCATAATATAACTTGTATTCAGTTTTGCTGTCCTCTTGGCAATATCATGAGAAAGAATGACACTAAATGTATTCCAGAAGAAATGGAATATGTTTTTCCGGATGTGTATGAATACACAAACGATTCAACGCACAACGAAAGTGGGCGAGTGAACGAATTCTTTCAGTTAACCGTCTACAATAAGTGCTTAGAATCGGAATGTTGGCTGGTACCCGACGGTCATCACTACGATTATAAAATTTTGCCAATGGTTCTTTTTATGTACCTTATTATGAAACATTATTTAAATCGACATCATATTGCCTCGGCGTCATCTTGGAAAGAGGGCGTAAATTTGAAGCGATTTTCAATTCAGAACAGAATGCGGATCTTGAAAGGAACGCTTACAAGTACACGCCTGAGCACAGTTGGATAATTCATATATTAAATATATATTCCAGCTTGCTATTAGTGTGCATATTATTTTTGGTGGCAGTATTTCTAGTGTATTCTATATTGCCAGAACTCCGAAATGAACACGGCTTCATGTTGCGCAATTACAGTGCAGTTATATCCATCGGATTGATGCTTGATATTGTGAGACTTTCAACAGTTAAAGAGGATGTTTTATATCCCGTCTGTATTACAATGGGTATAGTATATCTAACAATAAATTACATAAATATATAAAATCAATGCAAAGAACATATTTGTAAAGCATAATGTATATCCGCATATTAGTATATATAACTTCTTCATTATTTAAATATATATATCGCTTGTTAAAATACAACTGTCAATAATGAATTAAACTAAATATTAATGCATTTAATTTATAACTAACCTGAGTTAGCCTCTACATATATATAAATATGTACATACATATATATATATATATATATATATATATATATATATATAAAACTTGCGTTTTAGAATATTGCAGTGTTACGTCTGGAAATATTATTTAATTTAATATCGGTAGTATCAGTATTCATAATAATAAATAAATATTGTTATAAAATATTGGTGCAGAATGTAGTAAATCTGTTTTAAAGTGAAGAATAAAAAACGTCAAAGTTTCGATTATTTCCATTTTCACGCGCGCTTAGTGATGAAAATATTTATTATTGTAACCTTCATTTATATTTATTTTTCAGCCTTTTTAACATATTTTTGTTATATATCGGGTTACTTCTGGCTAAGTATTATGAGCTTCAATATGTGGTGGACATTCAGGTAAATAGCCAAATATTTTATATTTTACTTTAGTTCTTAGCTCCTGATTTTAATTTGTTTTTACATAATTGTTTTATAGTATGAAATATATCAAAAATTTTGTCAAGATAACGTAAATTTTTTGGAATTAGAAATGGTATATATTAGATAATAATAAACATTATATATTTAATTTATAAAATATTTATAAAATATTACAACAAAATCTAATTCACAATAATAAAACAAACTTTTCTGGAAAATTTTTTTCCATTATACAAGCTTGATATATATATTGCGTTAATCTTTTTTATGTATAATAAAGTAATGCAAAATAATTTTTTAACATAAATATATATTTTGCCCCTAAAAACCTAATAAAAATTTAAATTATCTTTGTCTGTACAATATCTATGTAAATATATAATAGTTTCTAAATGATATACAATGTTATATTTCTCATCATAATTGAGTGTCACATGTCGTATTATATAAATAAACTTTTATAATTATGTAAAATGGGTTTTCGAGAAAGCTTCGATCAAAGTCAAATATTAACATTTTACATTGAGATTTCTTTTATATCTACACTTATATAATTAAATATAATATATACCTAAATTTTTGCAGAAGATTCTCTTCGTTAAAAAGAAGCAGCAGCCAATCAGAAAAAAAAAAGTTGGTATATTATGCTATTTTTGCGTACGGATGTCCGTTTGTACTTGCTATTGTTTGTGTCATCGTTGTGGATTATGTTTCCGAGTATTTACCATATATTTTGAGACCAGATTTCAATAAGGGGCATTGCTGGTACTCTGTCATGATTCGTACGTCTCAAATAACTTTATTAAATGCTACGCTTTTTAAAAATATGTAATAGTATATGAGATATCATACTTACAGATTGGGAAGCACTTACATTGTATTATTACTGGATAAAAATTGTCTGTACTATTAGTAGCATTTGCTTATCCATCTCTGCGGCAAGAAACATTAAACGCTGCGAAAAGGATACAAACTTCAGTCTAACAGATTCGGAAAACAAGCAATTTAATGACAATAAGAAATGGTGTGTATTCTCACATTTTGCGTCACTCTGTGATAATTTTTTATTATGTTAATGAGATTTCTGCAGATATATTTTTGTCAATATCTCTGCCGACATCACACACTTGCTTGATTCGCATTTCTGGTAAAAGGGGAGAAAATTGTAATTGCAAAATATATATATGTATATTAAGAGTTTAACAAGGCTCTGTAATATAAATATAAATTTAACATATAATACAGGCAATAAGAGCCCAATCGCGGATGACAGTGCGTTATTCTATACAAAACTAAATTTTATATATATATATATATATATATATATATATATATATTTTACTGTGCTTATATTTTTCTTTTTTATATCTCATATTGTGTAATAAATTTATAAGAAAAAAAAAACATTTATTTCTGTAACTTGCATTGAGTCTTTTTTAAAAATCTGTAATACTCGAAATGTCGTAAGGAAAGAGTATAAACAAATATATATTAATTACATTAAAAATTACATTTTTGAAGTATTTCTATAAAATTTTTTTTTATTTCCCCCTTTTAAGAATTGCAATTGGTTCCATCATTTTTTAACTTAATAATTTGGTAGATTGAATTTATTATTTTTATTAAAAAATTACCAAATATTAATATATACTTGTTTGCAGGTTAAATCTATATATACAGTTATTTACCATGTTGTTTATCATTATGGGTATAAATTGCTTTATGCATGCAATTTCAAGGTTTTTTTACCAGGACAATTATATAAATATGGTTATTACATTGAACTTGTTAGATTCTTGTTAGTTATAGGACAAAATTACTGCATGTTTATCATATTTGTATGGAAGAGGAAAATCAAGTTGATGTTACTGAAACGATTCGGATTCAAGACGAATGCATCGACTTGAATACCACTTTTGAGGAATACATGCAGGAAAAGTCAATTTTTTGCGGAAAAGAAACATATTACACGAAAAATGTGTTTAATGGGATTGAATTTAAATGTTGTCAATGTGTAAAAAAAACGGTTTTATAAAATCAAAAATCAACAATTAATTATTAATCGCAATTTAATATAATCTTATATATAAAATTAAAAGTAAATTTACAATTTATATTTACAATTTAAATTTATATTTTACGTAATGTATAGGTTTCTTCGAAGGATTTCATATCAAATTGCTCATGGAAAATTTGTCTTATTGGTGCATATAATTAAGTCAAATTAATGGAATTAATAGAATTAAATTTTGTAAACATTTTTCTTCAAAAAATATTTTTATATGAAATTTATACGCAATATATAGTGCTATATTATTATAAAAAATAATTCTGATTGAAATAAATATATGTTATATATTTATAAATATAAGTATATAAAGAAAAATTAAAATTTGTTTTAAACTGCTGACATGGTCCAAACAAATAAATTACGAATATTTTCAATTGCGACTGTTATGTGTAATTATTGTTTGGTTTTTATTGTTTAATAAAATGGAATTTTTGTAAATAAGTGTTTAGTGTAAATAAGCTATGTCAAAAACGCGTTATTTCATATATACATATACACACACATTTGATGCTAAGAACATTTTATAATAATATATTATGCACTTAAGAATGAATTCTCGAATTTGAATAAAAAAATTTCTGCATTATAAAATGCAAAATATCGAATAGTAATTATGTGTATAAAATATTTGATATGTAAGAAACAACTATAAATTTATGTTATAAGTTTAAAAATGTAACATAACTTGCACATGAAATACTAAATTAAGAAGAAAAGTGTCGCTTTGTATTTCTACAACAAATTTCAATTTAACACGTACGACTATTATTGCCGATCATATGCAATGAAGGAAGAACATATTTAATTTTCAATAAATCAAATTTCAAGCAAATATAAATATATGTTCGCTAAACAAGTCAAAAGAGCGATGTCGTTACCTCAATTATTGCAATAAGTATTTTTTCGCTGTAATTGAATATTTGTGATCGAGGCACGCAGTTGCTGGTACACTGTCAACATTTTTTATAAAATATCTTAATTGATGACTCACGCATAATTATTTAATTGTAGCGCTAAATTCATTTTCGCAATAACCAACATCGCGTTCGGCTTTGTCAGCCTACATATTTATATTTGTTTCATATTAGAGCCGAATATAATTCATAATTGTTATTAAATTCCAAGCATTACAGGGACATTACCAGAAATGTTCTTAATCTTTACTTTTAGTTTTTCTACGTAATTATCACTTACAAGGGCAACACCAGACATCGTTTTCTCCGATTTGGCCGAATCTGACAATGAAATATGTTGTAGTCCTATCTTCCCACTAATTCATGGTAAAATAATACGATCCAACTCTCAAGCATTCGTAAAAAACAAATAAGTAACCCCGTTAATTTTACGTAAAAATGGGTCTAAAAAACCTTTTTTATGAAAAGACAAAAAGTTCAACTCTATGTAAAAAAGTGTATAAGAAAAAACAGTCTGTCTCAAAGTACTGTAAACTTGTGTTGTACAATTAAATATCTAAAAAAATAATGATATCAAATAATTGCGCCAAACAAAAGTACATACCAAAAAATTGAAAGTCAAAACTTTATGCAAAAATTAAAATTAAGAGTTTAACAAAAATTAAAAGTTAATACTAAATAAAAAATAAAGAATTATAATTTAAAAGTCTGACACTATTCTTCAAACCTACTGCATGTATTTTATCTGTAATATATCTTAAAATAACAATTAATTAATATACTGCAATAAAACTATAATATATAATAAAATTCATTTTAAATTGCTTGCATCAAGCGTGATTTTATACTAGCGGTTTATATATGGTGATTTAACGATAATAGAACTCGGTGAACGTGTTTTCCTTGTCGAAACAGAATATATGTATGTATTTCTATAAATAGAAAATTCGCATCTTATCATTAAACATGAGAATTATATTTTTCAATGTCACAATTTTCAGCAATTATGAAGCGTAATATACTTCGCACACAATTATAGAAAAGCGTTTGCAAACAAAAGCAAATTGTAGAAAAATTTGGATATTGATCTCATAAGATGGTCGTTATTTCACTTTGTCTCATTAGTTTGTTGTAATATTAGCTAATACTTTAATCATCATTGTAACACTTAACACTGAAAATACAAATTAAAGGAAAAAATCAGAAAACAAAAATTTGCAAGCACATTAATAATTTTATTTTCATATTTTGTGCTTATCAATTTTAAATTGTCATAATTAATATAGTATTCTAATATATTTTTGTAATACAATTACATTCAAAATTATGTCTAACTTATGCACACAAAGTGAATCGGGACAGCCAATCAGCATCACGGAAATGCAACAACAATATCCATAACATGCCTTTTTTAGAAAGGCTGACAAGTTTTTTAGAACTTTTCCTTGTATATTTAAGAGTTATAGCTGTATAATTTTTATAGTAGTAGACAGATTGTGTGTAGGTTTTCTCGCTAAGTTATCCAAGACTCGTCATCCTTAGTAGTTTCATTTCATCTCTTGTACAGGCACGTATTACTTATGCAATTTTCTCTTCTTTCAAGAACAAATGTTAAAGCCGAAGATAGTGATACATTATATGTATTTTACTAAATTTAGTGTGATCATTAAAAATTAACCGCGTAATTACCTACGTTTACAGTGTTAGTATAAAATCGGATCAACATTTCTAAATTTTGTAGAGAAAGACAAAAAGAAAAAGTAAATTAATTCCATTATATGTGTGCATTACGCACTTGACACATAACTTTTATTCAATTAACACAACAGCTAAAACAGAAAATTAATGTAGAATCTTTCAATTTTAAAAAATTAAAATTTATATGAGAAGTAATGCGTATTAACAGGTTTGACTGATTTAATTATCTAATTCCTCTAGTATATCCATTTGTGAAATAATGTTTGTACAAAATTTTACTTTTCTGTGTTGAGGGTTTTTTCTCCTAATCATTTCGTCATCGAAACTTCAGCGAAATCACACCAACAACAAAGACGAAAGTCATAATTCGACAGTACGATACGAGATATATGCGGATTCTGCAACCATTTATAGCGACGAGATAAAACCTATGCGATATGATTTGTATGAAAAGTTCGACAATACGCAACATAACGAAATGGAATATGAATTTAGCACTATTTCCACGAATGTCAACCGTGAGGATGTTGATTCGATACTTTATATACTAAAAAGGCGTTCTGCTCACAATCATGAGAATGATTACAAAATACTGATATCCTCTCACGTCAATTCGACAAATGTCAATCATAAAGAAAACTCTACGTCACAGAAGGTTTATGAAAACTTGCTTGAAAAGAATAATTCCATGCTGAATAAAGTCTTTGAAAATTCCACTAAGTATAGTAATAAAAGTATCATCGTTCCATACAAAACTTGTCATAATATTACTTGCATTCATTTCTGCTGTTCTCTTGGCAGTGTCATGACACGCCATTGACACTGTTATGCGCTCAACTGTGTTTCGTTTTTGACGGTAAATTTTACGAACAGGTTTTCGGTTCTCCTATGGGGTCTCCTTTGTCTCCAATTTTGTCTGACATGATTATGTACGATTTGGAATCATATTGTTTGCGTCAATTGGATTTCGAACCCTCTTGTTATTTTAGATACGTCGATGATATTTTTTCAATTATTCCGAAAGGAAAAATAGAGGATATGCTTGGGATTTTCAATGGTTTTCACACTCGACTTAAATTTACATCTGAATTAGAGAACAATTTTTCTCTGAGTTTTTTAGACACGAAAGTTATACGTATTGATGGCTGATTAACGACTAATTGGTTCCGTAAACCTACGTTTTCAGGTCGATATATAAATTTTCTATCGAGTCATCCGATGAGATATAAACTCAGTGTCATCACAAGCCTAGTAGATAGAGCTATTTTACTCGCTGACCCTATGTTTCACGAAGAAAACATTAATATAGTCAGAAGAATTCTTCGTAATAATTGTTACCCGTTAGCTGTTATAAACAAAAATATTAACAAAAGACTTAGGGCGATTAAATTTGGCGGTAATCTTAGCTCATGCAACCGAAATAAATTTGATGCGCGAACTTGTATGGTGTTGCCTTACATTAGAGATTTGAGCGAGAATATTACGCGTTGCATGAATAAAAATAAAATTGATGTAGTATATACCGTTTCAAAAAAATTAGATACACTGATAAAAAGAGGAAAAGATAGGATAGACAACTTAAAAAGAACCGATGTCGTGTATAAAATTGAATGTGCGAATTGTGATTCTACGTATATTAGACAGACAAGGAGACATTTAGAAACGCGCATCAAAGAACATCGAAATAATATAAAAAAAAACACTACATTGTATTCAGTTGTTAGTTTGCATCGGACTTGCAACAATCATGAGTTCCGTTGGGATTCTCCGGTGATCTTGCATCAAGAAAAACAAACAAAAAAAAAGAGAAATTGCAGAAATGTTTTATATAAAAAAACAAAGTAAAAGCATTAATTTACAGAAAGATACGGAGAATTTTAGTGGGATTTATGATCGTGTTCTTGACGCTATTTAAATTATTTTTATTTTTACTTATTTATTTATTTATTTAACTTTGTTATGAGGTTTTAGATTGCGAAAGACACATTAATTTGCCTCGATTTTTTTAACGCGTATTGACTAAGATTCTTGCTAACTGTTAACATCTATTTATTTCGTGCTTACTTCTGTCAATTTTACATTGTTCATTAAAACAATGGTGAATGTTGTCGGAGGTATGCAGTGAATTTGATTTACTGTATTAATTTATTTTGCATTTACTTTTGGTATGTAACATATTTTTGTATATAAAATTATAATTAATTGTTCCGATAAAATGTATTAAAATTATAATTATTTTTATGTAACTTTTTATAGATTTACTTGAAAAGGGCTGCAATGACAGCCGAAACGTTGTATTTTAACTAATTATCTATAATAAATGATTGCCAGTTTGGTCGACTTTAACCATTGAGAAATAATTTTTATTAAATGTTTAAGTCAAATACACTGCAGTATTGTTAACTAAGGCGCTGAATTTGGAACATAATATTTTTTCATATTGACAAATATTTATTTGACAGCCCGTGACCGCCGCATTTAGTTAGATTAAAAAAATTTCTTTTGGCTGAACATTATTTTTTTCTCAGTGTGTTTATCAATTTTAAATTATCATTATTTATATTCTAATCTTATATTTTTGTAATACAATTAGAGATTCAAAATTATGTTTAACATATGCGCACAACGTGAATCGAGACTGCCAATCACAGAAAAGCGACAACAATATCAATAACATGCTTTTTTTAGAACGGCGGATCTACAAATATAAAATCATACACCTATTACTTGTAATTATATTATACAAAAAAACAATGAACATATACATTATTAATTTGATCAATCCAGCAGGAATGCTGGATCGATTAACCTAATAACGTAGAATTTGTCAACATACATTTATTGCATTCCTTGAATAATTATGAGTAATAGATGTATGATTTTATAATTGTAGACAGATTGTGTGTGTGTGTTTGTATGTCCTCGCAAAGTTATCTACGACTCATAATCCTCGGTAGTTTCATTTTATCTCTCGTTCAGACACGTATTAACTTATGCAATATTTGTTCCTTCAAGAAGAAACATCAAAACCGAATATAGTGATACATTATAAATATTTTACTAAATCTGGTGTAATAATTAAAAATTAACTGCGTAATTGTTTACAAAAATCAGATCAACATTTCTAAATTTTCTGAAGAAAGACAAAAAAAAGAGATAATTCAATTCCATTATATGTGTACAGTACGCACTTGACACATATCTTTCATTCAATAAATACAAAACCTAAACTAAACACAACATAAATATACATTTTTTAAGTATTGAAAATTAAAATTTATATGAGAAATAATGAATGTAGTAACAGGTTTGATTGATTTCTCTATCTAATTTCTGTAGTGAATTTTTGTAAAATAATGTTTGTACAAAATTTCGCGGTTCTGTGTTGTGAGCTTTTTCTCCTCATCATTTCGTCATCGAAATCTCAGCGAAATTACACCAACGACGAAGATGAAGATCATAATTTGACAGTACGATACGAGATATACGCGGATTCTACAACAATTTATAGCGACGAGATAAAACCACTGCGATATGATTTGTATGAAAGGTTTACCGACGATACGCAATATAATGAAATGGAATATGAAATTAGCACTATTTCCACGAATATCGATCGCGAAGATGTTGATTCAATACTACATAAATTAAGAAGACGTTCTGCTCACAATCAAGAGAATGATTACAAAATATTGAAACACTCTCACAACAATTCGACAAATGTCAATCATAAAGAAAACTCTACGTCACAGAAGGTTTATGAAAACCTGCTTAAAATAAATGATTCTATGTCGAATAAAGTCTTTGAAAATTTCACTAAGAATAGTTATGAAAGTAACATCGTCCCATACGAAACGTGCCATAATATAACTTGTATTCAGTTCTGCTGTCCTTTTGGCAATATCATAAGATGGAATGACACTAAATGTATTCCAAAAGAAAGGAAATATGTTTTTCCGAATGTGTACGAATACACAAACGATTCAACGCACAACAAAAGTGGGCGAGTGAACGAATTCTTTCAGTTAACCGTCTACAATAAGTGCTTAGAATCGCAATGTTACGTGGTACCCATCGGTCATCAGTACGATTATAAAATTTTTGCCAATGGTTCTTTATTTATACCTTATTATGAAACATTATTTAAATCGACATCATATTGCCTAGGCGTTATCTTGAAAAGAGGGCGTAGATTTGAAGCGATTTTCATTTCAGAACAGTATGCGGAACTTAAAAGGAACGCTTTGAAACACACGCCTGAGTACAGTTGGATAACTCATGTATTAAATATATATTCCAGTTTGCATTTAGTGTGTATATTATTTTTGGTGTCAGTATTTCTAGTGTATTCCATATTGCCAGAACTCCGAAATGAACACGGCTTCATGTTGCGCAATTACTGTGCATGTTTATCCATCGTAATCGTGATAGATATAGTCAGAGTTTTACATTTGAAAGAGGAACTGTCATACATCCGTCCCGTCTGTATTACAATTGGTATAGTATATCTAACAATAAATTACATAAATATATATAATCAATGTATAGAACATATTTGTAAAGCATGTATATCATGTATCAATGTATATCCGCATATTAGTATATATAACTTCTTCATTATTTGACTATATATATCGCTTGTTAAAATACAACTGTCAATAATGAATTAAACTAAAATTTAATGCATTTTATTTATAACTAACCTAAGTTCGCCTTTACATATATATAAATACATACATACACACACACACACACACACACACACACACACACACACACACACATAAATATATATATATATATATATATATATATATATAAAATTTGCGTTTTAGAATATCGCAGTGTTACGTCTTAAAATATTATTTAATTTAATATCGGTAGTATCAGTATTCATAATAATAAATAAATATTGTTATAAACTATTGGTACAGAATGTAGTAAATCTGTTTTAAAGTAAAGAATAAAAAACGTCAAACTTTTGATTATTTCCATTTTCACGCGCACTTAGTGATGAAAATGATATTTATTATTGTAGTTTTTATTTCTATTTATTTTTCAGTCTTTTTAGAATATCTTTGTCTTTTATCGGGTCACTTTTGGCTAAATATTATGAGCTTTAATATGTGGCGGACATTCAGGTAAATATATAGCCAAATATTTTATATTTTACTTTAGTTCTTAGCTCCTGATTTTAATTTGTCTTTACATAATTGTTTTATAGTATGAAATATATCAAAATTTTGTCAAGATAACGTAAATTTTTTGGAATTAGAAATGGCATATATTAGATAATAAACATTATATATTTAATTTATAAAATATTTAAACAATATTACAACAAAATCTAATTCACAATAATAAAACAAACTTTTCTGAAAATTTTTTTTCTATTTTACAAGCTTGATATATATATTGCGTTAATTTTTTTTATGTGTAATAAAATAATACAAATTAATTTTTTAACATAAATATATATTTTGCGCCTATAAACTTAATAAAAATTTAAATTATCTTTGTCTGTAGAATATCTATGTAAATATATAATAGTTTTTAAATAATATACAATGTTATATTTTTCATAATTAAGTGTCACATGTCGTATTATATAAAAAAACTTTTTTAATTGTGTAGAATGGGTTTTCGAGAAAGCTTCGATCAAAGTCAAATATTAACATTTTACATTCAGATTTCTTTTATATCTACACTTATATAATTAAATATAATATATACCTAAATTTTTGCAGAAGATTCTCTTCGTTACAAAGAAACAGCAGACAATCAGAAAAAAAAAGTTGGTGTATTATGCTATTTTTGCGTACGGATGTCCGTTTGTACTTGCTATTATTTGTGTCATCGTTGTGGATTATGTTTCCGACTATATACCAATAATTTTGAGACCAGAATTCAAAAAGGGATATTGCTGGTACTTTACGGGACGTACGTCTCAAATAACTTTATTAAATGCTACGCTTTTTAAAAATATGTAATAGTACATAAGATATCATACTTACAGATTTGGAAGCACTTACATTGTATTATTACTGGATCAAAACTGTCTGTACTATTAGTAGCATTTGCTTATCCATCTGTGCGGCAAGGAACATTAAACGCTGCGAAAAAGATACAAACTTCAGTCTAACAGATTCGGAAAGCAAGCAATTTAACGACAATAAGAAATGGTGTGTATTCTCACATTTTGCGTCACTCTGTGATAATTTTTTATTATGTTAATGAGATTTTTTTTTTATATCTTCTATTGTGTAATAAATCTGTAAGAGAAAAAAAAATTATTTCTGTAACTTGCATTGAGTCTTTTTTAAATAATCTGTAATACTCGAAATGTCGTAAGAAGAGAGTATGAACGAATATATATTTATTACATTAAAAAATTACATTTTTGAAGTATTTCTATAAAAATTTTTTTCTCATTTTTTCCTTTTAAGAATTGTAATTGGTTCCATCATTTTTCAACTTAATAATTTAGTAGATTGAATTTATTATTTTTATTGAAAAATTACCAAATATTAATATATACTTGTTTGCAGGTTAAATCTATATATAAAGTTATTTATCGTGTTGTTTATTATTATGGGTATAAACTGGTTTATGTATATAATTTCAAGGTTGTTATTTACAACACAATATAAATATAGTTTTTACACTGAAATTATTAGAGTCTTGTTATGTGTAATACAATATTTTTTCATGTTTATCATATTTGTATGGAAGAGGAAAATCAAGTTGATGTTACTGAAACGATTCGGATTCAAGACGAATGCATCGACTTGAATACCACTTTTGAGGAATCCATGCAGGAAAAGTCAATTTTTTGTGGAAAAGAAACATATTACACGAAAAATTTGTTTAATGGGATTGAATTTAAATGTTGTCAATGTGTAAAGAAAACAGTTTTATAAAATCAACAATTAATTATTAATCGCAATTTAATATAATCTTATATATAAAATTAAAAGTAAATTTACAATTTATATTTACAATTTAAATTTATATTTTACGTAATGTATAGGTTTCTTCGAAGGATTTCATATCAAATTGCTCATGGAAAATTTGTTTTATTGGTGCATATAATTAAGTCAAATTAATGAAATTAATAGAATTAAATTTTGTAAACATTTTTCTTCAAAAATATTTTTATATGAAATTTATACGCAATATATAGTGCTATATTATTATAAAAAATAATTCTGATTGAAATAAAAATATGTTATATATTTATAAATATAAGTATATAAAGAAAAATTAAAATTTGTTTTAAACTGCTGACATGGTCCAAACAAATAAATTACGAATATTTTCAATTGCGACTGTTATGTGTAATTATTGTTTGGCTTTTATTGTTTAATAAAATGGAAATTTTTGTAAATAGGTGTTTAGTGTAAATAAGCTATGTCAAAAACGCGTTTTTTCATATATACATATACACACACATTTGATGCTAAGAACATTTTATAATAATATATTATGCACTTAAGAATAAATTCACGAATTTGAATATAAATATTTCTGCATTATAAAATGCAAAATATCGAATAGTAATTATGTGTATAAAATATTTGATATGTAAAAAACAACTATAAATTTATGTTATAAATTTAAAAATGTAACATAACTTGCACATGAAAAACTAAATTAAGAAGAAAAGTGTCGCTTTGTATTTGTACAACAAATTTCAATTTAACATGTACGACTATTATTGCTGATCATATGCAATGAAAAAAGAACATATTTAATTTTCAATAAATTAAATTTCAAGCAAATATAAATATATGTTCGCTAAACAAGTCAAAAGAGCAATGTTGTTACCTCAATTATTGCAATAAGTATTTTTTTCGCTGTAATTGAATAATTGTGATCGAGGCACGCAGTTGCTGGTACACTGTCAACATTTTTTATAAAAAGTATCTGAATTGATGACTCACGCATAATTATTTAATTGTAGCGCTAAATTTATTTTCGCAATAACCAACATCGCGTTCGGCTTTGTCAGCCTACATATTTATATTTGTTTCATATTAGAGCCGAATATAATACTTAATTGTTATTAAATTTCAAGCATTACAGGAAAACTACCAAAGATGTTCTTAGTCTTTTCTTTTAATTTTTCGACGTAAATATCACTTACAAGGGCAACACCAGACATTGTCTCCCTCCGATTTGGCCGAATCTGACAATGAAATATGTTGTAGTTCTATCTTCACACTAATCCATGGTAAAATAATACGACCCAACTCTCAAACATTCGTAAAAAACAAAAAAGTAATCCCTCTAATTTTACGTAAAAATGGGCCTAAAAAAAACTTTCTTATGAAAAGACAAAAAAGTGCGTCAAGTTCAACTCTATGTAAAAAAGTGTAATAAAAAAGACAGTCTGTTTCAAAGTACTGTAAACTTATGTTGTACAATTAAATATCTAAAAAAATAATGATATCAAATAATTGCGCCAAACAAAAGTACATACCAAAAAATTGAAAGTCAAAACCTTATGCAAAAATTAAAATTAAGAGTTTAACAAAGATTAAAAGTTAATACAAATAAAAAATTATAATTTAAAAGCCTGACACTATTTTTCAAAATTACTGCATGTATCTTATCTGTAATATATCTTAAAGTAACAATTAATTAATATACTGCAATGAAACTATAATATATAATAAAATTTATTTTAAATTGCTTGCATCAAGCGTGATTTTATACTAGCGATTTATATACGGTAATTCAACGATAATAGAACTCGGTGAACGTGTTTTCCTTGTCGAAACAGAATATATGTATGTATTTCTATGAATAGAAAATTTGCATCTTATCATTAAACATGAGAATTATATTTATCAATGTCACATTTTCAGCAATTATGAAGCGTAATATACTTCGCACACAATTATAGAAAAGCGTTTTCAAACAAAAGCAAATTGTAGAAAAATTTGGATATTGATCTCATAAGATGGTCGTTATTTCACTATCTCATTGTCAGAATCTCATTAGTTCGTTGTAATATTAGCTAATACTTTAATCATCATTGTAACACTTAACACTGAAAATACAAATTAAAGGAAAAATCAGAAAACAAAAATTTGCAAGCACATTAATAATTTTATTTTCATATTTTGTGCTTATCAATTTTAAATTGTCATAATTAATATAGTATTCTAATATATTTTTGTAATACAATTACATTCAAAATTATGTCTAACTTATGCACACAAAGTGAATCGAGACAGCCAATCAGCATCACGGTAATGCAACAACAATATCCATAACATGCCTTTTTAGAAAGGCTGACAAATTTTCTAGAACTTTTCCTTGTATATTTAAGAGTTATAGCTGTATAATTTTTATAGTAGTAGACAGATTGTGTGTGGGTTTTCTCGCTAAGTTATCCAAGACTCGTCATCCTTAGTAGTTTCATTTCATCTCTTGTACAGGCACGTATTACTTATGCAATTTTCTCTTCTTTCAAGAACAAAACGTTAAAGCCGAAGATAGTGATACATTATATGTATTTTACTAAATTCAGTGTGATCATTAAAAATTAACCGCGTAATTACCTACATTTACAGTGTTAGTATAAAATCGGATCAACATTTCTAAATTTTGTAGAGAAAGACAAAAAGAAAAAGTAAATTAATTCCATTATATGTGTGCATTACGCACTTGACACATAACTTTCATTCAATTAACACAACAGCTAAAATAGGCAGAAAATTAATGTAGAATCTTTCAATTATTAAAAATTAAAATTTATATGAGAAGTAATGCGTACTAACAGGTTTGACTGATTTTATCATCTAATTCCTCTAGAGAAATTCATTTGTGAAATAATGTTTGTACAAAATTTTACTTTTCTGTGTTGCGGGCTTTTTCTCCTAATCATTTCGTCATCGAAACCTCAGCGAAATTACTCCAACAACGAAGACGAAAGTCATAATTCGACAGTACGATACGAAACATATGCGGATTCTGCAACCATTTATAGCGACGAGATAAAACCTATGCGATATGATTTGTATGAAAAGTTTACCGACGATACGGAATATAACGAAATGGAATATGAATTTAGCACTATTTCCACGAATATTGATCGCGAAAATGTTGATTCGAAACTATCTAAACTAAGGAGGCGTTTTGCTCACAACCATGAAAATGATGACGAACTGATGTACTCTCACATCAATTCAACAAATGTCGATCATGAAGAAAACTCTACGTCACTGGAGGTTTATGACAACTTGCTTGAAAAGAATAATTCCATGTCGAATAAAGTCTTTGAAAATTCCATTAAGTATAGTAATGAAAGTAACATCGTCCCATACGAAACTTGCCATAATATTACTTGCATTCAATTCTGCTGTTCTCTTGGCAGTGTCATGAGATTGAATGACACCAAATGTGTTTTAAAAGAAATGAAATATGTTTTTCCGAATGTGTACGAATACGCAAACGATTCAACGCAGAATAAAAGTAAGCGAGTGGACGAATACTTTCAGTTAACTGTCTACGATCCGTGCTTAGAAATGCAACGTTACGTGGTACCCGACGGTCATCAGTACGAATATAAGATTTTTGCCAATGGTTCTATTTATTTTACTTTCCTTGAAAAATTCGTTGAATTATATTGTCTCGTTGTCTTCTTGGAAAGAGGGAATAGATTTGAAGTGACTTACTGTTCAGAACATAGTGTGGAACTTGAAATACACGACTTGGAACCCACATTTGAGTACATTTGGAAAACTCGTATAAAACATATATATTCCAGCTTGCTATTAGTGTGTTCCTTATTTTACCTGGCAATATTTCTAGTGTATTCCATATTGCCAGAACTCCGAAATGAACACGGCTTCCTGTTGTGTAATTTCAGTGCAGTTTCATCCATCGTAATCATAATTGAAGCTGTAAGAGTTTTAAAAATCAAAGAGGATGTATCATATCTTCTCTGTATTACAATTGGTACAGTATATCTAACAATCCATTATATAAATATATAAAATCAGTGCAGAACACATTTGTCAAGCATAATGTATATCCGCATATTATTATATCTTCTTTATTATTTGAATAAATATGATACTTTTAAAATACAACTGCCAATAATAATTTAAACTAAAATTAATGCATTATAATTATAACTAATCTGAGTTCGCCCAAACATATATGTATATATATGTATATATATAAGTATATAAGTTTCACGTTTTTTATTCTTTATTTTAAAACAGATTTATTACATTCTGCACCAAAGTTGAAAACAATATTTATTATTATAAAATTTGATACTACCAATATTAAATTAAATAATATTAAAATATTACTAATCTGAGTTCGCCCAAACATATATGTATATATATATATATATATATATATATGTTAATTTTATATCGGTAGTATCAATTTTTATAATAATAAATATTGTTATAAACTTTTGGTGCAGAATGTAATAAATCTGTTTTAAAATAAAGAATAAAAACGTGAAACTTTTGATTTTTTCCATTTTAACGCGCGCTTAATAATGAAAATGATATTTATTATTGAAGCATATATTTATATTCATTTTTCAGCTTTTTTGGAATATTATTTCTCTGTGTCGTGTTGCTGCTGGCAAAGTATCATGATCTTTAATATTTGGCATACATTCAGGTAAATAGCTAAGTATTTTATATTTTACTTTAGTTCTCTCTTGGCTTTTGATTTTAATTTGTCTTTACGTAATTGCTTTATAGTATTAAATATATACCAAAAATTTTGTCAAGATAACGTAAATTTTATTAATTTAGTAATGGCATATATTATACAATAAACACAATATACTTCATTTATAAATTATTTATAAATATTACAGCATAATAATATATCGCATTCGCGATAATAAAACAAATTTTCTGAAATGTTTTTTTCCATTTTACAAACTTGATATTTATATTGCGTAGATTTTTTTTATGAATAAAATAAAGCAATACCCAATAATATTTTAACATGAATATATTTTTTACCTCTGAAAACTCAATTAAATATGTTTATTATACCTTTATCTATAGTATAATTATGTAATTCTATAATAGTTTCTAAATGTTATACAATGTAATGATTAAAGGCAAACATTAGTTTAAACATTTTACAATAAGATTTCTTTTATCTACACTTATTTAGTTAAATATGACATGGAAATTGCAGAGGATTCTCTTCGTTACAAAGGAACGTTAGACAATCAGGAAAAAAAAAGTTGATGTATTATGCTATTTTTGCGTATGGATGTCCAATTGTATTTGCTACTTACGTCGTCGTTGTGGATTTTGTTTCTGAGTATATACCAAATATTTTGAGACCAGAATTCAAAATGGGATCTTGCTGGTTCTCTCAAGAACGTACGTTACAGATAACTTTATTAATGCTCCGCATTTTAAAAGTATGTAACAGTATATGGAATATTATATTTACAGATTTGGAAGCACTTACATTGTATTATTACTGGATCATAACTGTCTGTACTATTAGTAGCATTTGCTTATGCTTCTCTACTGCACGGAACATCAAACGCTACGAAAAAGATGCAAACTTCAGTCTAACAGATTCGGAAAGCAAGCAGTATAATAACAATAAAAAATGGTGTGTATTCTCACATTTTTGCATCACTCTATGATAAACTTATATTGTGTTAGTGAGATTTATGCAGATATATTTTTGTCAATATCTCTGCAGACAATATTACATACTCGCTTAATTCGCATTCCAGATGAAAGAGAGATATGATTTTTGAAAGCCATACATTTTAACTCTGCTTTTTGATTTTTTAAATTATTTTTTCCTTTTATTGTGTAATAACATAATCTACAAAAGAGAAAAAACATCTATTTCTTTAACTTGCATTTGGTCTTTTCAAAAAAGTCTGTAATTCTCGAAATGTCATAGAGAGTGAAAATAAACGAATATATATTTATTACATAAAAAAATTACATTTTCAAACTATTTCTTTAAATAATTTTTTCTCATTTTCACCTTTATAAGAATTGTAATTTGTTCCATCATTTTTCAATTTAATAATTTGATAGATAGAATTTGTTATTTTTATACAAAGATAACTAAATATTAATATATATTTGTTTGCAGGTTTAAACTATATATAAAGTTGTTTATCGTGATTTTTATCCTTTCGGGTATTGGGTGGTCTATATCTTCGATTAATCTGTTCTTTTTTACAACACGTGATTATGGTTATTACATTCTTATTGTTTCTGTTTTGTTATGTGTATTAAAGAGTATATTCGTCTTTATCATATTTGTATGCAAGAAGAAAATCAAGTTGATGTTACTGAAACGATTCGGGTTCGAAACGAATGTATCGACTTGAATATCACTTTTGAAAAATCTATGCAGGAAAAGTCGAGCTCTTGCTGAGAAGATAATTATCACACAAAAGATTCGTCTAATGGGATTGAATTCTAATGTTGTCAATGTGTAAAGAAAAGTGTTTTACCACAGATCAAGAATCAAATTTGCTGGTACACTGTCAAGACTTCTTCGGAATTGTATCTCAATTGATGGCTTATGCACAATTATTTAATTGTAGCGCTAAATTGATTTTCGCTATAACCAACATTGCGTTAGGCTGTGTCAGTCTACATATTTATATTTGTTTTATATTGAAAGTCTAATATAAATTTTTAATTGTTATTAAATTTCAAGCATTACGGGAAAACTACGAGAAATGTTCTTAGTCTCTTCTTTTAGTTTTTATAAGTAATTATTACTTACAAGAGGAACACCAGATATGGTTTCCTCCGATTTGGCTGAATCTGAAATATGTTGTCCTATCTTCACACTGATTCTTGGTAAAATAATACGACCCAACTCTCAAGCATTCGTAAAAAACAAAAATGTAACCCTGCTAATGTTACGTAAAAATGGGCCTAAAAAAACCTTTTTTTTTATAAAAAGACAAAAAGTGCGCCAAATTCAACTGTATGTAAAAATGTGTAATAAAAAAAAACAATATGTTTCAAAATACTGTAAACTTATGTTGTACAATTAATATATCTAATAAAATAATGATATCAATAAGTTGCGCCAAACAAAGATATACGTACCAAAAAAATTGAAAGTCAAAATCTTATGCAAAAATTAAAAGTTAATACAAAATAAAAAATAAATTTTAGTTGAAATAACTTAACGCTACTTTTCAAAATTACTATAATGTATCTGTAATATATATTAAAGTAACAATTAATTAATATACTGTAATTAAACTATAATATATAATAAAATTCTTTTTAAATTGCTTGCATCAAGCGTGATTTTATACTAGCTTTTTATATACGATGATTCGACGATAATAGAACTTGTTTTCCTTGTTGAACCAGAATATGTGTATGTATTTCTATGAGAAGAAAATTTGCATCTTATCATTAAACATAGGAAGTATATTTTTAATGTAACATTTTCAGCAATTATAAAGCGTAATAATTATACTTTGCACACAATTATAAAAAAACGTTTGCAAACAAAAGAAATTTGTAAAAAAATTTGGGCATCGATCTCATAAGATGGTCGTTATCTTATTGTCAGAATTTTATTCGTTTATTGCAGTATCAACTAATAATTGAATAAACACTTAACACCGAAAAAACAAATTAAAAGAAAGAACAGAAATCAAAAATTTTGGAATCACATTAATCATTCTATAATATATTCTTATTTTGTGTTTAAATTGTTCTTATTTAAATTCTCATATTATATTTTTATAATACAATTAGATTCAAAATAATGTCTAATATATTCGCACAACGTTAATTGGGTCAGCCAATCAGCATCGCGGAAAAGCGACAATGTCAATACATGCTTTTTTTAGAAGGGCGGATTCCCTACTGGATTGATCAAACTAACGTCAGAAGTTTCAGCATACTTTCTTTGTTTTCTTGTATAATTAAAAGTTATAAGTGTATAATTTTATAACAGTAGACAAAACTGTGTGTGTGTGTGTGTGTTTCTCCGCAAAGTTATCCACAACTCGTCATGCTCGGTAGTTTCATTTCCTTTCTCGTACAGACACGTACTACTTATGCAATATTCTCTTCTTTCAAGGAAGAAGCGTCAAAGCCGAATACAGTTATATGATTTTACTAAATTTAAAGTAATCATTAAAAATTAACCGCGTAATTGTCTACATTAACACATTGTTAAAATAAAATCAGATTTTTATTTCTAAATTTTGTAGAGAAAGACAAAAAGGAAAAGATAATTTAATTTCATTATATGTGTATATTACACACATATCTTTCAATCAATTAATACAAAAGCTAATATAGGCACAAAAATAATATTGATTCTTTAATTATTGAAAACAAAAATGTATATGAGGAATAATAAATATACCAACAAGTTTGATTGATTTAACTATCTAATTTCTCTAGTGTATATCCTTTTTGTGAAATAATGTTTGTAAAAAATTTCTCGTTTCTGTGTTATGGGTTTTTTCTTCTCATCATTTCATCTATTATATAAATCTATTAATTAATTATGCAACGCATAAAAATTCAATGTTTAAATCTCTTTAGCAGAAAATACGAACGAAGAAATAAAATTTTCTACAAGAATCTTTTGCAATCAAATATCTACGCTTTTATTAAATTCGTGCGAGACTCTATACCCCATATATCTATCACGTTGCGCGGCTCGCGCGAAACTGATTCGCGTGCGAGGTATCGCGAGTGAGAAACCGAGATCACGTGACCAGTGGTCCCTCTGATCATGTGACCACTAGTCATGTGATCATCGGTCCCACGCTCGAGATACCCCGTACGAGAATCAGTGTTGCGCGAGCCGCGCAACGTGATAGATGTGTGGGGTGTATTAATCTGATGGAAAGGATAGAGAGAGAATTGCTTTCGTCGGGTCCAATTCATTATTGACTGTTTAAAAATTTTGTTTTTCAAAAAATGTAAATTTAAAACTACAAAACAAACATACTAAAGGAATATAAAAATGAGTATACATATATACTCATATACATATATATGTGGCATTTGAAAAAATTTTATTTTTGTTAAGAAAGTTAATAAATTGGAACTTGCACAATGCTTCCTTACCATTTTATTTCGCTCATTAGCTTCACACAGTTCTCTATGAGAAAGCCAAAATTGGAAAACCAGCTTGTTCGCATTGAGAAAGCTTAATGAACGAAATAAGTGGTGAGAAAACAATGTGCACGTTTTTAATTTATTATTATTCTTTTTAAAAATTTAAAAATTTGTTTTCTTAACTGTTGTACATATTTGTCATATTTTTGACTATAAGAGGATTTAGATATATAATTAAAATTTAGAACGCACATAAAACAATCGAATCGCATATCGATGAATAATTTCTGTTGCGAAATCATAATAGATTTATATCGCTTATGTAAGTATATAATATATATAAAATATAAAATAAATATATAAAATAAAAATAATAAATATATAAATGCTATAAAATTTTTTAAAAAATTTATATTTTTAGTAATGCTTAT